TTAACTTTTTTGGATTAAGTGGGTTAATAATTTTAGAAGAAGCATGGAAGGGGGCAAAAGCAGATCCTGACTCAAAAGCGCACCCTTCGAGGTTAAAATGTGACCAAACCAAATCAGTGGATGACAACATGATGATAAGAGAATTAAAATGTTCAACGTATGCTTTAAATGACGCACTTGCTGTACTAACTCTCCTCTCCTCAAAGTTAGTCTATCTCAAAACAAAATCCACTGTAGTCTTGGAAATTCTTTTATTATTCTAGCAAGAAAAGTAGCGTGGTTATATTCTAGCCTATCTGTTTTGGAGTGACAGTTTGGAGTTATCCGGAAAAACCAGGCCGAATTTCACATCATGTATTGACTATTGTTTGAGCTATGCATTGTGGAATAATATATATTATTCCAACACGTTGCAGTCCTCAGTCTCTTTTGCTGCTGTCCACGTGATTATAATTTGGAAAATTCGAGATATGAATATCACTGAATTCGGTTTAATTTTTTTCCTAGCGAGGATGTACGGACCGCCAATATAATTGCGGCCTACCCAAATGGCGTGGACTGTTTAGTGCTGGATAGGGAGTAAGTAATAATATTACTGACTTCAATAAGGACGCATTTGATGATTATTAGATAAAAACACGTAGGTCGCCCTACTTATCTTCGTTTTGGAAATATAGCAGAGCATCAGAGGTTAAGGCTGATTAAAGATGATGACATACTTTTACCCAACTTAAAAATAGCTTTAAATGTATTCAAACTGTTGTATTTTAACGTAACTAGGCAATCAAATTTGAATTATGAGTTTTTAAATAAATGTCATAACTGGTGCATTTTTTGCAGATCCTACGAACTTTTGGTCGGTGACCTGGGACCCTTAGAAAGACAATATCCAGACGAGGACTTACAAAAGCATCAAGCGTGAGTTTGTGCAAGATTTGTTTTAAACTATCATTGAGCAACCCTAACGTGATAGGTCTGAAAGGCTATCATGATTTCGTCCTATGCTGTTAAAACAATGCAGCAGCAGATTGAAATATGCGCTTCACATTTCTTCCAAATAAGATAATCCATGTCTACTCAAAATACGAGATCAGTAAAATAAGGCAATTACAAAGACAACACCGTTAATTAAGTGCTTGAATATTTCATGTTTTGAGGGAGTAGTTACCTTGCAAAGGTGGTTTTTTAACAATCGTAAAATTGCTTTAAAAATATGATGACGTCTTTTATGTTCCACATAGAGTAAAGTCGCTGATTCTCGAATTTGGGAACATCAGCCTTCAGGACTTAACCGTCGTAGCTACGTTGGGCGTAGGTGGATTCGGAAGGGTTGAACTAGCAAGTTTCCCTACAGACCATTTAATTGCATTATAAATTTCTCTAAAAGCTTCAGCTGTCCTCTAAACTAAATATTCTTTTTTTTTAAAATTGCACTCATGAAGTTCTGATATTTTAACTGATTTTGAGTGGATTTAGCCCATATTAAGTGTCGCAGTGGGCATTTTAACGAATATTCATCATATCGCAATTTGCTTTAATTGCAGAGATGTTAAAGTTTTGTACCGTATTTTATACTAATTGATCACTACTGCATTACATATAACCGATCCAAGGGAAATTAATAACTCTAATGCCCTGCGTTTACTAATTTTTATAGACAGACTTGTTGAGTACTGTACTCGGTATATTTGACTAACCCACACCAGTACGAACTACATGGTTTTAGTAACATAACGGACTTTGATGCCTCCTCAGTTTAAAGCATCACAAACAGCTAATGGTTCTTATTCCACCGTGTAATTTTATTCACTTTTCGGAAGGTTTACCTCGGGAAGGACAGTTCGCAAACTTTTGCGTTAAAGAAGTTGAAGAAGCACTACGTAGTTTTAACAAAACAGGAGAAGCACGTGATGAACGAACGCATTATCCTAATGTCCTGCAACTCCGAATTCATTGTCCGGTAGTGCCTGGTTTCTGAATGATTTTATTGTACTTACTTTAAAAACCTATGTATATAAATATAATGAATAACCATTTATTTGTGAAAACACCTATAAAATATTTGTGTTGCATAAATGGTGGATCATGACTGAACGTGTTGTTAACTAGTCTTTTCACCTTAGTACAAAATATTACACAATACCCTTTAGGCTGTACAGGACATTCAAAGACCGCAAATATCTGTATCTTCTAATGGAAGCATGCCTTGGGGGCGAGTTATGGACAGTACTCAGAAATCGGTAGGTTTATTTAGGGAGAAGAGCAAAAGAAATATCAAGAATTGTCTCAATTTATTTCTCTATGTGGTCTCTTCTTAAGTATTGTCTCGGTATTAGGCGGAACTCCTAATGTTTACTGTGTGCAATAACAATAATTATTTGCTCAGTACTTCCAATTATCTTTTCGCATAAAATCAGAATTTTGGAATGCTCTCCTTCTGTTGGTTGCATTTGACAAGAAATTAGCTGAATTTCTTCATTTATCTATTGCTTTTCAACCTCCCAAGGCCGCAACATGTACCAGCTGTTTCATCGGAAAGATCTAAAATCTAAAATATTTTTCAAAAATAATAGCCTACAGTCTCAAAGCTTACGTCTTCATGCATTTTTAATGAAGGCATACTTGGTAACTGGTAGCTTGTTATGTCCTTTTAATATTCTTCGAAAGCCATATATCCCGGGGACTTTTCATGGGTTTAAAATTCCTCCAGCCTTTCCTTCCCGGAGGCAGCCACACAGTTCTACGTTGCTTGCGTCGTGGAGGCGCTAACCTATCTGCATTCACAAGGCATCGTTTATCGCGATCTCAAACCTGAAAATCTACTTCTTGACCAATATGGTTACTGTAAAATGGTAAGTACGCATTAAAACCGTGATAGATCTGGTTGTTGAGTTTCCTGTTTAATCAAAATAGCTTTATTACTAAAAAGTTTCAATTCCACCTCTGTATTGGTAGGAAAGACGGTGTACAATTAACGTACACTGCAGTGAGAAGCATCCTGTAAATAACAAATATAATTTCTGCCTTTCGACAGACAGATTTCGGGTTTGCTAAAAAGATTGGCTTTGGACGAAAGACGTGGACTTTTTGCGGCACTCCGGAATACATTGCTCCAGAAATTATCCTCAACAAAGGACACGACTTTTTCGTGGATTCTTGGTCCTTGGGAATCCTCATTTACGAGCTCATGAATGGAACGTAGGTTTTTCATTCTACGCATTAGTTAATTATGATGATGTTATGAGGCGTATGGGAAGGGATTTCCAAGGTTTAACGCCAACGATATAAAAGTAGAGCCACGTGAAACATTCGCAATACATTTGTGCATCGAGTTATATTTCAGCCTCTCACATGGGATAAAAGTAAAATGGTATGGAAGCATATTTTGGCCAGATATTATCTACAGCGAAACGTATTCACATGTTAATAAGTAGGATTCACCTAGTGCATGCCAGCTTAAATATATTTTTGCTTGGAGATAAATACAGGTTTTTAAGTATTTTGAGGAGTCCAAATCTACGATCATTTGTATCCATAGTCCACAAAAAAACTAGCTCTTGCAAAATTGATTCCTAAATTATTACTTCTACTTTCGGTTTTGCACTCTAGTTGGCATATAAGTGTTGAATGTTGGTCTCAAGAGAAAGTGGTAGCTACGTGGAGAAATAACATTGGGTGGGACGGGGAAGGAGATAAGCAGGTACCTTCTCCTCCCTCTCCCATCCCAAAGTGTAATGAGATTTTTTTACATGGGAATCGCATAACACCACGGGGTAATAAGATCTTAGAGTGTCTGTTAAGAAGTGAAAAGACACCTTCTTCCAATACACCAAATGCACCTGACTGTTTCTGCAGAAAA